TGGGAGTGCACTGACCATCAGGGGGCAGCTCCTGCATTGAATGTCTGCCTCCTGGTGGTCAGTGCACATCATAGCAACTGGTTGTTCTGCTCATTCCGCCGTAATGGTTGCTTAGGCTTTTATTATATAGATAATTTATATACCAGACATTTCATTCCTTTAAAGTGTATAATTCAGTGGACTGTGGTACATTATATTATCAGTTTTAAAAATTGGCGTAAAATATATTGGTATGGATTGAATGTGTCCCCCTGAATTCTGTATGTTGAGGCCTAATTCCTAATGAGGTAGTGCTTGAAAGTGGGGCTTTTGGAAAGAGATTGGATTTGGATGAGGTCATGGTGGTGGAGGCCAATATAAGGGAAGGAAAAGACCAGAGCTCTCTCTTGGCCATGTAAGGACATAGTGAGAAGGTAACTGTCTATAAGACAGGAAGTGGGTCCTTAACCAGAACCCAACCTTGCTGGCACCCTGATCTTGGACTTCCAGCCTCCTGGCCTATGAGAAATAAATGTTTGTTGTTTAAGCCACCTCTACAGAATTTAGTTATGGCAGCCTGAGCAGACTAAGACATTTATGCAACATAAATTTTCCATTTTAACCATTCTAAGTGTATAATTCAATAGCACTAATTATATTCACAATGTTATGTAATAATAACTGCTATTTCCAAAACTTTTTCATCAACAAGCAAGTTTCTTTAAACAAGTGATATATGGGCCTTGTCTTTAGCTGTTCCATTCACCTTCCATTGGCTGCAGCCACCTACAAGGAGACTTGGGAGTGTAGCCTGAGCTCAGAAGCCAGGTGCCGGCTGCAGAACATGCACCCTGGTGCTAAAAGGAGGAAGGGAGAAGGTATGCCTGGAGAAAACTGCAGTGCCCACCAAATATATGTTCCTAAAAATCTCTCTTACTCACTTTGGCTGCTGTAACAAAATACCACAGACTGTGTGGTATATTACAGACATTTATTTCTCACAGACCTGGAGTCTGGAAATCCAAGGTCAAGGTGCCAGCAGATCCCAGGCCTGGTGAGGACCAGCTTCCTGGTTTTCAGATGATCATCTTCTTTTTGTATCCTCATGTGGCAGAGAGCAGAGGGAAGAGGCAATCTCACAGGTCTTGTCATATAAAGTGAACTAACTCCATTTATGGGGGCTTCCCCCTCATAACCTAATTACCTCCCAAAGGCACCATCATCAAATACCTTCACATTGGGGGTTAGGATTTCAACATGTGAATTTTGGGGGGCATACAAACATTCTATCTAGGAACTGGTGAAGACAACTGCTCTTTTGCTTTAGAGAACAGTGTGATCACCCCTCCAGTTACTTCTTGAGTAAAATATTGAAAAAATAAGGAACTGGGGGGCTTAAATCTACAGGAAGAATGACTTCAGGAAAGGGGACTATTCTGAGTAAGAGGGGGGCCCACCACATAACAGCAGCCAGGGTCCAAGGAGAGAGAGGACTTGATATGGACTTTCAAGAAAAAAAGTGTGCAACTTGAGTCTTACCAAAGTATCTTTGCACCTCATTGGCTATGACCAGGTCCCATGACTATGCTGAACTAATTGAGTTTCCAATGGGAGGAAACCCTTTGATTGGATTGGCAGGAGTGAAACACTGAGGGTGGAAGGCTGGAGTCAATACCATCTGAACACATGAACTCAGAAATGGGGAGGGGATAGTTCCCCATGGGGGGCCTGGGACTCCATTTTACTAGTTGTGCATCCTGCTATTCTATGTTCTACTCTATTCTGTTCACAGGCTCTTTTCTGAACCCTGTCGTTTTATCTCAGGAGCAGGACAAAGCAGATACAGAGAGGAATATATGCAGAATCAGACATGCTTGTTATGTATGTAAGGGGTGGGGCCCAGGGACAGAGAGTGGCCAGGGAGAGGGAACAGGTTCAGCAGATGCTGTGATGAAGTCCAGCCTGGCTGACCTAAAATGATATCTAGAGATGGAGGCAACAGGTGAGTCAGGTCAGCAGTCATCACTAGAGGTTAACATGAAACCTATGGGTATCATAGCAGGTACTTGGAACATGGGGAAAAAAATCCAGAAGAAGATATTTCTGATGTAGCACCCCAAGACAGAGAAGTGGGGGTATACTAATGACAACCACCATGGCACACCAATCTCATTGTGCATTGGCTCCTGCTCACAATGCACTTGGACTCAAAAGTTGCCCACACTCACATGCATATGTCACCATGCTTGAGTGCAGGAGTGGCCACCACTGAGCATGAGATGTGAGAGGGCAGGAGTTACAAGAAGGGCCAGTAGCTTTGGGTGCTTGTATTTTCTTTTGGAAATTTCCTTAGGAATGTCTAACTTCCCTTCACAACTTCCGTCTTTACAGAAATCAAGCTGGCTTTTCAAAAGTGTTCAATCAGGACTTCTAGTTCCAACTTCAACATGTAAAGAGCTTAGAAGTTGTTACTCCCATTCTTACAAGAAGAAAAAGATAAATTAAGAGAAAACCAGCAACTTTTCTAGGACCCATCAGAGAAAGGGGCAACATTCCCTCCCCTTGCCCCCCACCACCTCTGCCAAATCTGAATAAACAGGTGAATCCAGAAAGGTACAGCGAGACCTCCTTACCTGGGGCAGAAGCCACCAAGCTATACATTGGTATAAACACTTAAATGGCAAATTTGATAAATTTCTGGAGGCTGAATATGGACTATCATCAGAGTGAGAAACTCCTGGGAGAGCCCACATTTTCACAGATTGACTTCCAGGAAACCTTGGAACTCTGGGAAAGAGTCATCATTATGAAATACTAGAAGCCCAGTGCACAAATTTGTGCACAGGCGGGGTCCTGCCGGCCTGCGCCAATTGGGCTGGGCCGGCCTGGGGGGAGGGGCCATGGGCAGTTGGTTGGCCTGCCCCACCCCCTGGTCGAACTCCTGGTCGAGGGGGCAATTTGCATATTAGCCTTTTATTATATAGGATACCGAGAGGGTTCTCCATAAGAAGAGCTACTCTCTAGGGCAGGGGTCCTCAAACTCTTTAAACAGGGGGTCAGTTCACTGTCCCTCAGACCGTTGGAGGGCCGGACTATAGTTTAAAAAAAAACTATGAACAAATTCCTATGCACACTGCACATATCTTATTTTGAAGTAAAAAAACAAAACCGCAACAAATACAATATTTGTATTTGCATGTGGCCCGCGGGCCATAATTTGAGGACCCCTGCTCTAGGGGAAAAGACTTCCCAGGGCCTTATCCCACCCTGGGGAAAGGGCATTTCTCCCACTCTACACCCCTCTGGCCTTCCTGTCTCATCTAAGGGGATAAAAAAAGAAAGGCTAAGAAACACTCATGAAAGTCACAGAACCAGGGACACAGGCTAAAAGACTGAGAAATAATAATAAGATTGTAGAACCCTTCCCATCCTCTACTCCCAGCACACCAACAAAGCTCCAGTATCAGAAGAGCTGCCCACAGCTGAGGCCCTTCACATGGTAACACCCCCTTGTTCACGTGCCCACTTCTGGCAGTTCACCTGGCCCCACCAGCTTGTTCACTGCCCACTTCCGGGTGTCCACGTGGCCCCACCCCCTTGATCAGATGCCGGCTGAGCGAGGGGCCCCGCCCCCTTGTTCAAGTGCCCTCTTACCACGTGGCCCCATCCCCTTGAGACTTCAGTTGGTCTGTTTCTGGGGTGCCATCTCCCTGGTTGGCTGTCTGGCCCTGCTCTCCCACCTGTCAACAATCCCTTTGCCAAAGTTGTTTCCAGACAATGGTTTGTGTGTGCCCTCTCTTTCCTGCTGGGACTGTGACAGCTGGGATTGAGAAGGAGACAGGACAGCAAAGGCCTGTCCAGAGTCCATGCAAGTGGTCCAGAGGGACTGTGCAGTCCCTGCAAGGCTCGGGGAGGGAAGGGTGGTGAGGCAGGGGTGTTGACTAGGAAGTAGAATGCCCTCCTGGGAGGAGCAGCTGTGGCCCACTGTCCAGGTGAGGCTACTGGACAAGTGACTTCCTCGAGGGCACAGAGCAGTTAAAGGGCAGAGCTAATGATAGAACCCAGTGGATTACAGCTGAAGGAGATGGAGGGTAACAAACTAAGCAGGAGTTCTTAAAGAGGCCCAAACTTCTTGGTTCCATTTCTCTGGTAAACTCTAACTGATACAGTGCCGGGACACGTTTGTTTACAGGAAGGAGTTAATCTTTTCGCAATAAATACAAACCCCCAGTTTTAACCAAAAGAGATTTTTTTTTCAGTGAAAAATAATCATTTTATCCATTTACCTGACAGTGGCATTAACAAAAATATATATACTTCATTCAACTTTGCTGCTTTTCACTAATTCTCATTAATTAATTTCATTAAATAACATAAATGCTTATTCTTAAGAAGTCATTATAACCCTAGCCAACCATTTGTTAACTGCAGTCATATGAGAGCTACTACATCTTAACTATCTTCCAGAGGTGCCTATGGAAATGATCAATTGCCCGTGAAAACCAGTAAACCAGGAGCAATCACAAACCACCACAACTGCACTTGCTCACCTGCTTGTCGAGTCAAACTAATGGAGCTGAAACTCCATTTCTGGCTCTGCTTTTTGTTTTGTTTAGATTTTTGGAAAATAAAGAAAAATTTAGGATGCCACTACCTGAGAGTCTCAGGTACATACTGGCAAATAATGAGAGTGCTTTTAGTGTCAAAGTACCTCTCCCGGATGGGGCTGGCCAGAAGACTCTGCTATTCCATCTCAAACTCCACTTGAACTGACGTCAGCTGTGGATGGCTTTCATTCTGCAGCATGTGGCAGTATTTTATTTTACTTTATAATGGTTTTCTTGTCTGGAAAACGAGAGTGTTTTATGTGTGTTAAACTAAACCACCATGCTAATTTTGGAAGTTCCCAAGGAGGTGGCCCTACATACCAGATGCTAGACACCACGCATTGAAGGCAAACACAAGCTACACAGCAACAACAGAACATCAATGTGTCTCCAACAAGTGTCTAACAATATGCCTTTTAGCAGATAGACTCAGACTTTATTTCGACAAATGTAAGATAGAAAAATATCAAGTGAATATAGCAGTTGCTCTTTCTGTAACAAGGTTTGGAATGTGCAATGCGATTTGCAAGGACTAGCTTAATAGGAAGGTTTTACTTCTGTTTGGGCTTCTTAATGCTGAATTCTATTTCAGCCATTGCATTTGCTTGAGAGAATATTGGACACAGTAAAACTGGTATTTAAAAAGGTCATGGCATTCAATAATAAATATTACAAAGCAGTGAACCAAAACAACTTTTAAAATATTTCTATAGTAATTACTAAAAGCCAACATTAAACTTGATGATTAGAGCTAAGAACTCATATTTTCAAAATAGCTTTGACATTTCTTACCAATATATAATAGAATAGTAGAACACTTATTGTTTAAAAACAAGTGAAGAAAATTAGAATTAACATGATATTTCAGATGACTATAAACAGTAAACATCAATTCAGTGTATTTATATATCTTTTCAATAATATACTCTTTGCCCAGCTGGCCATAAAAAACTGTAGTTCTAGCATCAAAAATGTGCCCTTGGATGTAATCTTTGAGCTAATTACCTGCTGCCATCATTTCTGCACTCCATCTTTGAGGGTGGTTGAGGGACTCAGTACATGCAGATATTTGGTTATGGTTATAATGTCAAAAAAATGTGCGTGCCAAGAGTCTGCAGCTGAACCCACTGTCTTATTTTGTTAAGCACCTTCATATTCTTTTGTCTGTGTTATGCCTCAGGTGAACTGATGCTAAATAATTCACACCGGTGCTAATTTTGTTGCTGTCAGTCTGGTTCAGATTCTTTCTTTGCTTCCCTGCCCCACTCCTCAAAGAATAAAACTGGGCAGCCCCTCATTAAAATATGTTGTCTCTAACATATAAAATAAGTATCTATGTACACATATACATACATGCGCTTCCTTTTCAAGGACTGGGTGACTCCTCATTTTCTATCAAATAATCCTTCTTTATATACTTGGTTCCCCTGACTAACCTCCACACTACCAGGTAAGCATCCTTTAGTGACCTTTTGCTGGCTTCTTCAGCGCTGTCTGCCATCTGCCAGGTACTAGCCGCCAGCGGGACTCCTCTGGGGCTGCCCCTCACCCCTTGCCCCCTTTGCTGAGCGGAGCCACCTGCTACCTTTCCACCTTCTGCCCCGCCAGCTACCTCCTCTGGCAGCTCCTCTATGACAAAAGGCAGCTGGTCTCCACCTGGCTGCGCCTCCTCTCCCTGCGGCTGCGTCTCCAGGTCCTCGTAGTTGCTTTGCTTTCTGGTCTCCAAGAATTTGGCCACACAGTAAATGATGGAACCCAGGGTGTTCACCACGACCCCGGCAATGAAGAGAGAGGTGGGCGCCACGTCGCTGAAGGCCACCATGCCCACCGTGATGGTGGCGATGCTCTTCACCACGCCCACGAAGCTGGTGGTCACGGCCGAGTTGATGTAAGTGCAGTGCAGCGTGGTGAAGTTCATGGCGCAGCCGATCAAGACGCAGGCCACGAAGATGCAGACCATCGTGGGGTCCTTCCAGCCGGGGAAGGCCCAGACTTGGATCGCGTCGGTGCTGGCGAAGGACAGGACGACCAGCAGCGGGGTGGCGGAGATGGCGATGGCGTACTGCGCGGTGAGCGGCCCGTGCTGGGTGTCCGCGCTCGCCTTCTGGATGAGCACCAGGTAGGCGGCGTGCACCAGCACCGCC